CATGTGGAGACAGTGCAGTGCGGAAGCATGGAAAGCAGTTTTTGACACGCAAAGATTGTTTTCCCAACTTCCACTCACCGTCATCCAGTGGGTTCCGACCCATAGCAACCCTGCGAGGATTTCTGAGGCTGCCGCTCTTTGTGGGAGCAGCAGCCTCATCCAGTTCCCAAGGACCCTATGGTGGTTTTGAACCGCCTTCCGATTAGCAGTCAAGCTACCCAACAGCGCCACCTGGCCGTTGAACAACAGCAGAAGATCTGATAATGACAAAATAAACAATTTCTAAATTATCAAGGGCTCATGAGGGAGGGGGAAGGGGGAGAAAGGGGAAAAAAATGAGGACCTGATGCCGGGGGCTTAAGTGGAGAGCAAATGTTTTGAGAATGACGAGGGCAATGAATGTACAAATGTGCTTTACACAATTGATGTGTGTATGGATTGTGATGAGTCGTATGAGCCCCTAATAAAATGATTAAAAAAAAAATTATACAGAAGAGAAGAATACTCCCCCGAACAGGTCCCTTCAAAACCCCCAAAGTTAACTTGTCATCATCCGGCTGGAACACAGCCTTCTACATTTACCCCACCCCCTACCCCCCTAACCCCCCCCCTCCCTGCAGCTGTTTCTTTTTAGATTTACGTTTAACTAGGCTAAGCATAAGGAAGACTTATTCAGTCAGTCGGTCACCAAACGCTTCGTTACATAAAAGCAGGAGAAAGTAAAGGTTATACCAAGAAGCTTCCAGAACACCTGGGACACTTTTGCATCACGGTCTCATTCCCGTGCTTGGACGCTGCCACATCCCCTCCTCATCAACATCCCCAGCAACTGAAGACTCCTCATCCACCCTGTTCCCCGTGGCCAAGGCCCTGCGCCCCAGCGAACTGCTCATTAGATAAGAGGCCATCGATGTCTCTGTACTTCTACCAAAGTTCAGACCAGGGCCCCGGCATAAAAACAACGTTTGCCCAACAGACTAGCGGACATGTTCCAAAATGGACACGCCTGTGGGACCCATTGGTGGAAATCAGAGGGATCGAAAGAACGTTCCAGGCAAATGCACTGGGCTGTTTACACACTTTTGGGTACAAATGATTTTTATAACATTCTGAGGAGCCAAACCTGCCACCTCCAGGGCAGTTAAAAGGTGTGTGCACCAGCTGCTAGTCAGGTGTCCAAACACCAGAAGCGAGAAGCGAGAAGCAAACCGTGGCATCTGCGTAGTCACCCACACCCTGGCCCTCTCTCCGCAGAAGGAAGCTGGCAGTGCCCTCCACCCCACCCCCACCCCATCCAGTGAAGCAGCCCTCACCCCAAACGCAAACTCACTGCCCTCGAGTCCATGCGGCTCATAGCGACCCCTAATTCTCTTTGACAGTCCACCTGGGGACCCGGAATACAGCGTCCATGTCGGAGACCCGAGGCCCCAGAAAAGCCTTTTAAAAAGCACTCTAAACACTGACTTGCCCAACATGCAGATAGCGAGCCAGGTCCTGAGGAGTGCCGGTAGTGCAGTGGTTAAACAGTGAGCTGCCAATCAAAGGGCCATCCGTTTGAGCCTACCCCGAGGGTCCTTGGGAGAAAGGCCTGGCAGACTGCTCCAGTAGCGATGACAGCCGAGGGAGCCTCTCCAGGCAACTCTGCTCCATCACAGAAGGTCAAAGTTGACAATCAGATCGGTGGCACCACCACAGAGCCTCCAGGGGGTGAAAGGTTACTGTGCTCCACTGCTGACCGAGAGGCTGCGGGTTTGAGTTAACCATGGAAGAAAGGCTGGGCCCACTACTTCCCAAAAATCTGCCACGGAAGAACCCCGTGGTAGATTTCTGTGGCAATCAGGGCTCCCGGGACTCACGGCCACTAAAATCAGAAAAGTGAAGTTGGAAAGACGTTCAGCTTTCCAACGACCCTGGGACACTTGTGTTAGAAAGAACAATCGTTGTGGAAGTGAGTGAAAATAAAAATGAGATAGTGCTCACACTTATTTGGTACCGCCCATGAGGGGGACGTCAAAAAGTATCGCTGTGACGGTTCCAACTCATGTACGCACAGGTTTATTCCCAACAAAACGTGTCCACATGTGTCTCCGCTCACCCAAGGGTGGCTGCAGACGCATTCTCTCAGTCAGACACCTGTCTTAGTCAGGACACTGCTGCGCTGGGTCTCAGTGTGGCGCGTGTCATCGCATCATTACTCTCGCTTCTGAGACTCAGCGCCACACCTGCTGTGTGACCAGCAGAGCTCTCTGTGCAAAGCTGTGGGTAGGAGGGGCAAGAGACGCCTAGTCTAGCTGACGCCAAGAGTGACCGCTTGGGGGAGCTGGGAGATGGGTCTGCCTGAGGCAGAAATGGCTGGACAGCTGGTTGGGCAGGGCCTGGGAAGAGCGAGAGGAGGAGCTTGGATTTGACGAGGGATCATCCAACGTTCCCTCCATTCTAGAGGAAAGGCAGGCTACTTCCTTTTCTCTCTGTCTTGATTTCTAGAAACAGAGGGATAGCAGGTTTCCCTGGTAGAACCTGCTGGATGCACTCAGAGCACACATAGGGTCACACCTCTTACTTTTCTAGACGGTCTCTGGCAGGCCTCGGCAGAGCTGTTCCTCGCGGCTCAGGGCGACCCGTGTGTGTCGCAGTAAAACCATGCCCCCACAGGACAGAGTTTCCACCAATTACATTTTCAGTAGATTTCCAGGCTTTTTTAGGGGCGTCTCTGGGGCGTCTCGAACTTCCAACTTTTGAGGTCTTGTCCCATTTGCACCGCCCAGGGAGTCTGCTCCTCAAAGCCCTTACTGCCCCCACTGCAAACCCAGCTCATGACCTCTCCTAGAGCGCTCCTCCCCACGGTCTTACAGCCATTTTTTCTTGAAAGTGTTTCCCAACTGGCATTTGAAATTTCTAATCACGGATTTATAATCTAAACACTGACAAAACTTTCTATCCGCATGAGTGTAACAGCAATAATGCAAAATTGCCCGAGAAGGCACTAAATAGGTGGTGACAGTTCAAGCGGAAAAACTCATTTAAATGATTTAAGAGAAGTTATTATAACAGGCGATTTTCCCTGTGACCTTCAAACATTGATCTTCTCTGGATAAGCACAGATGCTGTAGAAACCCCAGACGCAATGCTAAAACCAGCACTCGCCGAACCGAACTGACAAAACGCATGACTGAGGGCG